GTGGAGGGAAGTAGGAAGAGAGGAAGGCCATATGCCAGATGGATGGACACTATTAAGGAGGCTACAAATATTAAGGGGTTGCAGGAATTAAGCAGAACAGGGGAGAATCCATAGGCTCTTGGAGATGTCTCATTCATAGGGTCACCATGGGTCGAGATCGACTCGAGGGCAGTTAACAAGAAATATATATAGTTGTTGTTGTTGTTGTTTTGTGCCTTCAAGTGTTCCTGACGTATGGCAACCCTAAGGCAAACCTATCATGGGGTTTTCTTGGCAAGACTTCTTCAGAGGAGGTTTGCCATTGCCTTCCCTTGAGGCTGAGAGCATGTGACTTGTCCAAGGTCACCCAGTGGGTTTCCATAGCAGAGCCAGGATTCAAAACCTTGTGTCCAGAGTCATAGTCCAAAACTCAAACCACTATGCCATGCTGGCTCTCCTCAGTGACCAGATAACAATATATATTATAGACCCAGCCCCTTCCTCTTGCCTAGAGATGAGCATCCCAAAACTGGGAAATTTGCACCTGTCTCCCATCTGGAGATGAGCCACAAAAACTGGAGACAGGAGACAAAGCCCTTAGATCTGCCAATCCTAGATGCTACCAGATTTTTTGTACCCCCTCCCCACAACCCATTTTTTATACTGTGACAAGACTTAACATCACTATCTGCATAATTGAAAAATAAATTCTGGTATCCCAATAGACCAAAGAGTGACTATAATGTGTTGTTGTTGGATTCCATCAAGTTGTTTCTGACCTAGGGCAACTCTTAAGGAGAAACTATCAAAGGGTTTTCTCAGCAAGATTTGTTTGGGGAAGGGTTGCCACAGCCTTCCCTTGAGGCTGAGAGAGTGTGACCTGCTCAAGTTTACCCAGTAGATGTCCATGGCCAAGCAGGGATTCAGATCCTGGTTTCCCAGAGTACTCATCCAGTACTCAAAAGAATTACGCTATGTTGGCTAACATATCCAGAGGTAGCCGTATTGGCCATATCAGCAAAATAGAGTAACATCCAAAATCCACAAAACAGTGGATACCTTTATTAACCAAACAAAATGCACAATATGCACATTGCAAGCTTTCAGAGCTCCACTGGCTTCTTCATCAGGCAAAGATATTAAAAATCAGTCCTTTATTAGGTAGAAAGCATGTTGGAGATCAATGACCATAACGTCTGTTGCTATATCTCAGCCTATCCAAGCCTTTTGTAAAAAAAATTCCTTGAATTTGTGAAGAGTGTCATTTTTAGTAAACACATTAACACTTCTAAGTTTTATATATATATATATATTTCAATTGGTCCTACCCGAGGTTTAACTTAAATAATTGGAAAATCATTTTAAAGAAAGCACAGGTCTGACAATTGATCTTGCTCTGAGCCTACTGCCAGATCTCTCTCTCTATAGCCTTTCCTAAATCTCAGCCAGCCTTCTAGTCTTTGTGGGATGGAGAGAAACCATTAACTGTTTCTCCTAGAAAACTGTAATCCAGGGATGGCAATTGTGTCATTGGGTGTCATTGGACTGCAAGTCCCAGCAGCCATAGCCAGCATAATTGGTGATAAGCAATGCTGAGAACTGTGGTTTAACAACATCTGGAAGCCTGTATGAACAGAAACTTCTCACATTTCTTCTTCCTCACTAAATATGTGTTCTTTATCTTGAACCTAAACAAAGGCACACAGTGAACAACATGATACACCTTTTATCTGCATTTTTCCCCTTTTGTTTTACCCCTTAATTTTTGATAATTGCAACTGAAAATTTCTGGAGAATGTGAAAGATCACACCATGTTTGCACTTTATACCTTTAATAAAAAGTTACAGTTGGCCCTCCATTTTCGCAGGGGATCCATTCCGAACCCCCCGCAAAAATGGAGACTCGCCAATATTCAAGCCCCATAGGCTTAAATGGGGTGCGCACCCCATTGATTTGAACGGAGGTTGCCCCTCTGTGAATATGCAAAACTGCAGATTCCAAATCCGCAAGAATGAAGGGGCGACTGTATTTGCATTTTGGTTCCTTTTGTTGTTTCTGTATGTGCAGAGTGCTTTGTATAGCCAGGTTAGGAAACCTTTGAGCCTATGGACGCTTTATACAGAACTTCTTGTAAAGTAAATCAAAAAAAGTTACTTTTGGAATGCTGCTTTTAGAAGAATTAATATACAGTGGTCCATCCACATTCTCTGGGGTTAGGGGTGAAGGATTCCTCTGAACGCAGAAAAACTGCAAATTAAAAAAAACCACAATACTATTCTTTTGACCTAAGAGAACACTGCTCTAGGAATCTCCAGGTCCTCCAGTGCAACTCTATGGTCAACATCTGTCAGAAATTGATCATAGAATCATGCTGAAGGACCTACAAATCCCTAGAGGTGTTTTCTCGAAGAACTTCTTATGTTCTTCACTCCAGCACAACTCTATGGTCATCTTCCAGCAGAGTTATGTTGGGGGACCTAGAGATTCCTAGAGAGAACATATTAATCAAATCCACAAAAGTCAAAGCCGCAAATGATATTGTTAAGCTGCCAGTCATCTGATATTTTGAGTTACATTGCTGTAAAACATGGAGCAGGGGTCCCCAAACTACAGCCCATGGGACACGGCCCGTCGAGGCCTTCTTACCGGCCCATGGCCGGTCCTGCCACCATTGCTGCTCGTGCGCGCCACCGAATACCATTTTGTTTTCCAAAATGGCGTCCGGAGTTGCGCGCATGCGCACTACTCTGGGCGCTATTTTGAAATACAAAATGGTGCCCGAGTTGTGCGCATGCGCACGCACGCGCTCCTCCAGCCCCCCGGAGATCTGGGGCCAGCAAACTGGCCCCCAGATCAAAAAGTTTGGGGACCCCTGACACGGAGGTTCAATTGACATCCTTTCTTTTAGTCTAGTCCAGTGACTAGTCCATGAGTGAGGAACTTTTGGTTCTCCAGACTCCCAGTTTCTACCAGATCTAGCAAGCATGGCTGTTGGTCATGGATAGTGAGATGTGGGAGTCCTACAACATCAAGAGCTTCATCCTTCCTTCATAACAGAAGGACTCCCAAGCATCACCATCCATGACCAACAGCCATGCTAGCTAAGCCTGGTACAAACTGGGAGTCTGGAGAGCCAAAGGTTCCTCACCTGTGGATTAGTCAAAAAGATAAGTCCGTCAACTGAGCCTCCAGGTTTTATAGCAATATACCTCAAAATATCAGAAGAGTGGCAGTAAATCAACAAGAAGTGCCATTATCTGCATGCCTTTGGTTTTAAACTTGCCAGTCTTTCATCTGGAAGAGTTGCACTTAAGTGGTGGAAGGAAACTTTCAGAGTGTTTCCAAGACATCCGTTGCTCCTGGTCCTATTCTCTGGAGCAGCAGAAAACAAACCTGCTCCATCTCCAGTATGACATCTTTCCAAATATTTAAACAGGGCTATCGCAGCTAGTGTGGTGTAATGGTTTGGGTGTTGGACCATGAATCTGGAGACCCTGGGTTCGATTCCCCACTCAGCCATGAAAGCCACTGGGTGACTTTGGACAAATCGCTTCCTCAGCCTCAGGGGAAGGCAATGGCAAACCTCGTCTGAACAATGCAAAGTCGTAGGCTTTCATGGCCTGCATCCATAGTTTTTTGTGGGTTTTTGGGCTGTGTGGCCATGTTCTAGAAGAGTTTCTTTCTGACCAGTCCATTGACAAAGGATCTACCAATTGTGACTGTCCTCAAATGAAGTGGAGGATGCTCTCGCTATCAGCAGTACATACAATGGAGGAAAGTTTCTTTAAGATGACAGCCACAGATGCTGGCGAAACGTCAGAAACTCTTCTAGAACATGGCCACACAGCCCAAAAACCCCACAAAAAACTCCTCTGAACAAATCTTGGCTATGATAGATTTGCCTTAAGGTCATCAGAAGTCAGAAACAACCTGAAAGCACACAACCCATACACATATCGTATCACCTCTTAACCACCTCTTCTCCAGGCTGAACATACCCAGCTCCTTAGGTCTCTTCTCATAGGGCTTGATGGTTCCCAGACCTTTGACCATTTTGGCTGCCCTCCTCTGGACTCCCAGGATTCCCAGGGATGAAGTCATAGGCTTTCATGGCCGGCATCCATAGTTTTTTTGTGGGTTTTTTGGGCTGTGTGGCCATGTTCTAGAAGAGTTTCTTTTTGACCAGTCCATTGACAAAGGATCTACCAGTTATGACTGTCCTCAAGTGAAGAAGCGGAGGATGCTCTCACTATCAGTAGTACATACAATGGAGGAAGGTACCATTTTGTCTTTGGCCACAGGCTGCAAAATGTCATGGGTTAGCTTCAGGTTTCATGTTACTCTTCAAAGCTTTCCAAGGTAACCAAGTAGGCAAGGCAGGCCTCTGGTTTAGCCTAGCAAGGCAGGCAGCTTTTATAATTCTATTTTTTCTTCTTCTCAGCTCTTTTCTCTTTGATACTTCCTTAAGATCTTTCCATAGAACATGGATTCCCAGGGATCTTTGTCCCATTGAAGATTAGACCGATTGCTCAACAAAGTGACAAAATCACAGCAGTTTTTATTGGTTTTTAAATGTATTTTTATTTTTATGTTATTTTTTTTAGAAAAAATGAAAAACAAAAAGCTAATCAGGGTCCAGGAGATCAGAGTCAATACCATCATGAGGAGAAAAATTCCCACAAACAATCGTCGCCTCTGGGACGAATTCCATGACTGTAAGGATTCTGTGCAAGTTGGCATTTTGGTACTGGGTACAGAACGCAGTAATCCAAAGAACTTCACTTCCCTTTAAAAAAGAACAATATCAAGTTTCTAGTCCTCAAGGCTCTGGTGACCATTACTTGAAAATGTGTGGATAAATACTATTACCTCAGACAGCAGAGGTAGGATCAATGAGGCTTTCCAGTCGCCAAGAATCGTGCCTGGCATAGTTCTTTCCACCCTTTAATTTTTATTAGCAGAGGAAATTATATAACACAATCTGAGATTGTACATTTGGTTTCACTTTCCTCACCTGGCCAGGGTGACAGAATCTGGCTTTTCACAGCTCAGCATTCTGTTTTTTATCAGAACAAAGTTTACATGAAAATGTTACTAGCCAACGAGACCAGTTATTTATTCCCAGGCTAGCTGGAAGTGAAAAAGAAGTCCCTTTCCCCTACGGCCATCATGGCACATGAGAGAGTAAAGGGATTTCACATCTGTAGGGTCTAGTTTTCTCCAGAATGCCAAAGTCCACCAAGAGGAGTCAGACGCAGTAGGCCAAGGCGTGGGAATTATGTGGCACTCTTAAATTGTTGGACTGAAACTCCCAGCATTTCCAACCCTTGCCTATGATGGGCAGGGCTGCTGGAAGAAGCCAAGGGCCATCTAATTCCTACTGTAAAGATCTACTTAAAAGATTTTTTTTTGCATTTTGTGGATCCCTGTATTGCATTGTGGATCCCTGTAAGATCAACAGTAGATAATCACAGGTCTCTAAACCCTGCTACTAATACTTACTTTGGGCAAATGATAATCTCTCAGCCTTAGAGGATGGCAATGGCAAACCTCTTCTGAACAAATCTTACCACGAAAACCCCATAATAAATTCACCTTAAGGTCACCACAAGTCTGGAACAACTTGAAGGCACACAACCACTACTACCACCACCACCACAACCACCACCAAAAGGATAATGGATTCTCTCTCACTGGAGATTTTCAGAGCAAGGGGTTAGACAAAATAACAAAGCTCCTTCCAATGGTATGATTAATACCAACATTAAAAGGCTTTTCTTCTAAACAAGGCTATTCCTGATGTATTAACTCTGGGCATATCTACACCATGCAATCATAACAGTTTACTAAAGTCATGGATCCCTCCTACAGATACTTGGGATCTGTAGTTCTATTAAGTGCATAGAATTTCAGCAAGAGTTTTAGTGTTGTAATTTAAAGGGCGTGCAGAAAATCCTAAATGCCTTCCCACACTACTAGGATCCTTCAAGATGGATCCATGACAATGAAAGTGGAATCAAAGTATGGTGTGAATAGAGGCAAATTTGTATAGAAAGCAGGGCTCTATCATGGATCTTAGCAAGCCAATTGGCTCCTCTTCTCAGAACTACAATTTTGCATCTAGCTCTGGTTGGTGGTCTCTGGGATCCTAAATTGAAAAATAAGGTTCTGTTGAGTTTGAAATTTGGCTACTTGTGTTGGTTCTTAGTCTCTGAAAAGGGCAGCCTTTTTGTTATTATTAAATAATAAATTAATAATTACATTATTAAGCAGTGGGACCTCATCTGAGGGTATCTGAGACCTTTTGACGCAAAAAACTGCAGGGGTGGTGGGATCATAATAGAGGTGTATGAAATATTGATTGGTATGGAAAAAAGAGATAGGAAGTATGGTATAGTGGTTTAAATATTGGACCAGGATTCTGGGATACCAGGGTTCAAATCCCTGCTCAGCCTTGGAAATCCATTGAGTCATCTTGGGCAAGTCACACTCTCTCTTAGCCTCACAGGAAGGCAGTAGTAATCTCTTCTGAATAAATTTTACAAAGAAAACCCCAGAATAGGGTTGACATAAGTCACGTAATAACAACAACAATAATCAGAACCTGGGATCATCCATTGATGATGAATGATGGGAGATTCAGGACAGATAAAAGAAAAATACCTTCAGACATTTTTAATTTGGTACCATAAGGCGCAGCAATGGGAAGCAACTTTAAAAGAGGATTGATAAAATCCATGGAGGATTAGGTTCTGAGTGGCTATTTATTATGGTAGCTCTTTATCACCTCCACTATCAGAGACAGTATGCTTCTGAATCTCACTTGCCTTGAACAAGAGCAAGGGTGTTCTTTTTTGGACTGCTACTTTAGAAATCTCCAACAACATGGGGAGTTGTAGTCCAAAAAAGTAGCCATTCCCAGCTGTAGGTCTATTGCCCTCATTCCCTGCTTGTGGGTTTCCCAAAGGCACCGGTTTGTTTGCTGTGATTATAGTTCTTTGTTGTGATCCAGCAGAGTTCTTTTTATGCTCAGTTTTGCATCTGGCTCTATTTGGTGGAATTTGGGATGCTGGTTGAAGTAGTAGTAGTTGTAGTAGTAGTAAAATCATGAGCCTGAAATTAGCTTTCTTTTTATTCTCTGTGTTCTGACTTGCAAAAGTTAGCAGACTCCAGAAGTGAATAAAATATTAATAACTTGCATTAGCTGATACCACACAACAGGTTTCAAGCATATATTCACAGCCATGAGGACTAGGAACATTACTTAAGTCCCTAAGTTGTTTTTAAAAACTGTTTTGGAAGGTTGAATTTGCAGGATCACAGGCTGTCATCCTGGATAACCAGAACATACTTAACATTCCTGGTCCCTTTAAGTGTTACTCATTGCACTCCTCCATTTTCCTCTTGGACTACTGACTTCTTGGTATTTGGACAAAACTGTGTCCTATTACCCAAGATATGCGCACTTCTGTGGTCAAACTACATAGTAGAGACTGTTAGACCAAAGCTTTTGGAAGGCCTGGATCTCAGGACAAATTCACACATTAAATTTAGGTTGTTGCCAACTTCCCTTTCATTACTATAGTCACCCAGTGTCTTCAAACCAGATTTTGGGGCAGAGGACCCCTTTACAAGCCTCTAGGCAGACTGCCGCCAGTCAAACCCCTCTGCGCTATTACTGAAGAACAGTAGACAAACGCCAGGAACTTATTGGTGTCATAAGCCAGCAGTTGCATTTTTCCAGGATTGTGCAACAGTGTGAAAGGAAAGCAAACAAAACCTACTACTCCCAGCAACCTATCTGTCCAATGTTTTACTTCTTTCATGGCCACTGTGCTTCCCCTGCTCCTGTTGCCACTGTGTGTGCTGGTGTGGTGATGCCAGTGTAGGACACCAATTGGATTCTGAGTGGAGTCAAAGGTGGCTGATCTAAGAAAGCCCCTGCAATGCCTTACAGTGGCAGATCAGTTCACCCTCCCTGCTGACATCATGTTGTTTTAATGACTTTTTTTTCAGTTTCTTTGGCTGCTGATATAGAATGAGGTCTCTCATCCATGCCCCTTTTAGTGGAGGGGGAGGTATTTACTGAATAATGTGCGTCTCCCCAAACAACCCAAAGACCACAATCCTACACCCACTTACTTGGGAATCAGACCCACTGGCTTCAATGAGACTTAACTACCAAGTAAACACGCATAGAATTGGGCTTTAAAAGAGGTAGTGGTTTCTGGTAACAGGGCATTAGGGACAGAGGGATGGGAATTGTGAAGAAAGGAAGAGAACAAAAGCATGGAATCCTGTATCCTCACTGCCCAGATCCCCCTAATCTGACTAGATCCCCTTCATGATGCAGGCAATCCAGGAGCCTTACTTCTCGCACACTTCCCATATGACCTACTCTTCTTTTCTAATCCACTAGCCCCTGCCCACCCACAAACCCCTTCCACGGAATCCAGGAGTTCCATCTCTCTAGTATACTAGATGCTAACCCTATCCCAAAAAAACTCAAAGAACTCCT